GAATTGATCCAACGTTGAGTATTCATTTGCTTTAATCAGTTGAGCTGACGGCCTCAAAGACATCCTATCATCACCATCAGCCTTAGTCGAGTCCCCCAACGAGGCTCCCCTTTCCCGTCGTCACAATATATCCAATTTCCGAAAACACGATTTTTTACAATCTAAACCCAACCATTTGATCTTCACAAACCCTTAACCGTACTTGAGTATTTCTGAGGATCAAACTCTAGATAAACTCAAATACGGTCCCTTATTGAGAACATCGCAACGCATTGTTGGAAAATCGAAATGAAATCGGTATGAAAAGAGTTTGAAATGTCTTGTAGAGATTGACGCAAAAAGACGCCCTTGATGACAACGCGGGATACATATGTATGTATATCCCATCGCGGCCACGTCGAGCTGGCTGCTGTCTAGTGCACCCATTACACTCAATTTTTTCGCGGATGCCTGATTCATTCAAGTTTTGCGTATTTGTTCTATGGAAGAAACCTTGCATGGCTACAAATATAGTAGCCCATAGAACGGTCGCGTATGATTTAATTCAGAGGAAGATTTCTGAACCCTACGAAATTACCAGTTTAACTAATTTTCATTTTCATTTTTATTTTTGTAAACCTGAAGATTAGATTAGTGGAAGTCCATGACCTGAGAAAGAATAATCTGTGTTTCAATTAAAACAATCAAAGATGAAAATGTAGTTCGGAGGAGGGGCTCTTATGATATCTAATCGAAGTGACAATAATCAATCAAAGTGAAGTTGCGGAAAAGCTCCCATATCTAATCAGCATTCAGAGCGTAGGCTCTTAGTGTGTATACACTGCGACAATATAATTATAGTTAAACCTACAAATTTCCCAAAAACTCGCATCTGGGGATGTTTTTGAAAAAGTTTCTAAGGCAAACTGTGATATGTACATATTAACGCGGAAATCCCGCGTTAATATGTACATATCACAGTTTGCCTATCAATTTGTAAGGGCAACAATTTTGTCTTCATTTTTTCGAAAATGCCCACTTTGCCTATGACGCAAAATCATAGTTCCACCTCATGTTTCTCCGCTGCATTTTGCTTTTACCCAATCAAATTTTGAAATTATTACCCACTCAAGTTCCTTAGCTTATAGCAAAGGCAAAACCGCTGTCAGACTTCCGTAAAAGGAAAATCCTAGCAAAAGAGACGCAGGAATTGTCGAAGTGTCAGCTCACGCTGGAATTTGTCGGGGTGACTTCATAACGAACAAACTCAAGGATGCTACAGGATATGATACTGGGAAGGAACCCTGATTACTATCCGACCGAGATAAGCGCCGTATCGTGAAAATAATACAAGCCGGGTACGGAAATCAAAACTTCTTTGGTAAGTTTAAGTTTCAAAGGCTGCGTTTCAACGTGTTTTCCAACACGCTCGTGACAGTCCATGTCTGGAAGATAAGAAATACGCTTTTGTCAAAAGAAATCATAGAGAAAAACGAGCCATTTTTCTTAGAAAGTTTCGCCAAGTCGATTGAAGCGGTGACATTCTTTCATTTGCGATTTTTGATTTGCGTCTTTCTTTCTCTTAACGTTTTTCTTTCTCAGATCGGTTTTTTACTTCGTAGCAAACATGTATGGAGAAGAAAATGATCAGGAGGATGGTCAGAGGTTCCAAAATATCACAGATAAAAAAGTGTCCTCACATTGCTCTACTTCGCAAATTTTTTTAGGGAAAGTGCCTCGATTTCCTCGCCTACAAAAAGCGTATTTCTTACCTTCGAGACTTCACGAGCGTGTTGTAAACACGTGAAACTGCGTCCATTGAGACACTAACTTTTGAAGAAGTTTTGATTTCCGTACCCGTCTGGATAAAGTCGTATTATTTTCTCACGATACGGCGCTTATCTCGGTCGGATAGTAATCAGGGTTCCTCCCAGAATCATATCCTGTAGCATCCTTGAGAAATTTGTTCGTTATGAAGTCACCCCGACAAATTCCAGCGTGAGCTGACACTTCGACAATTCCTGCGTCTCTTTTGCTAGGATTTTCCTTTTACGGAAGTCTGACAGCGGTTTTGCCTTTGCTATAAGCTAAAGAACTTGTATGGTTAATAACTTCAAAATTCGATTGCGTAACAGGCAAAGCGGGAGTTTTCAAAACAATGAAAAATGAGGATTCAAAATTGTTGCTTCTCAAACTGGATTTCCGTGTTAATATTCAGATTCGCGTTTATATGTGTCACAATTTGTCTGTAGAGCCCTTTCAAAAACATCCCCATATTCGAGTTTTTGGGAAATTTGTAGATGGAAAAATGATTATGCGTCGCAGGGTAGGTACCGGCCCAAGATTTCGTACAAAATCGGATGTTGAACGACCCTTTCCTCGACAGGCTTGCATGGCGATCGCAAGAAGATTTGGTGAAAGTAAAGCGTCAGCGGGTGGCAGCCCTTTCTGTGACAAGGGTAACAAAGGTGACATAGTTGTCGTAGGTCACCGTTTCAGTGAAGAATAAGACAATGCTTGATAAGATATGAGTGCCCGTCCGCAACTCCCCTCGATTTGATATGAGTGCCCCTCCACAGCTCCCCCTGATAGATACGAGTGCCCCCCCCCACCCCACGTTACATTTTTACCCTTTTATCCAATAGCGTAAACAACTATCATGGTTCTGATGTTGGGAAGGTTTAACGGGGGCTGAGTAAGGCATTTCAGCGGTGGCAATGATAATGAAATTGAAACACCCAACAGCATATGTGTTTTCATGAACAACATCATATTGTGCTTAGGGAGTGTAGTTCTTCATAAGAAAAGCTTATCTTCAAGAGGAATGGTGGAATACTTCCGGGTGTCCGTTCCGGTGGGAACAAAAAAATTTTCAAAGATTTTGTATCTTGTAAAAAATATAACGAAGTTTTTTGCCAGAACTACCACAACAGTTGATCGACCAAGAGGTCTTGAATGATGAAGGTTTCGCAGCAAAAAACATCTTCAGCTGACCCGTGAATATTGATCCATGGTGTCCACATACTTTTGATTAGCATTGCAGCATTGTCATTGTCCGGTGAGCATGCTGTTTGACCGTGCTATATGTAGAGTGGAGTGTAGTCGCGTTACAACTTTTCGTCGAGATGACTTTGAAAGATTAAATACAAGCAGTGTTCCGACAGCGTTAGCCATCGGTTTCCTTCAATATTTCTTCTTACGAGATGGGCATGTAAAAGAAATTGATTTTGTAAAATAGTCGCGAAGCTGTTGTACACACAAGTGCGGAAGAAATAATTTTATTAAGGTGTTTATACTGTTTTCTTCTCCAGCGATAACGTGATGGTGAAGAACCTCTATTACGACGAGTTGTTGTTATTTCTTCCCGCGTGTTGGTTTGTAGACCATGCCATAGCTGTTCACAATGCTCATCACAAAAAAGCATGCGAGCAACAACCAACGCATTTTTCTAAATCTATATTCTATAAGTAATGTAAATTCGTAATTCTTAAATATAATGTAATGTAATATTCTTTAATGTAATTCGATTTCTGATTGAAAGCAAACTTGTGAAAATGAACAGAAATGTTGACTTTGAGCTGAGATCTATTACTTGAACAGGAAGGTCAAAAACCCGCTTTAATCTAGACAACCTAATGTGTTCGACTGAATAAGTATATGAACAACGATTATTGCACTTGCGAGCGATGAGAGGATCGCGTCGAGCCAGCCTTATAATCCAGTGGTGATCCACGTATAATAGTGTTTGAATGGTGAAGTATGCACTAGCTGCGGTTATTCTCAGAAGGAGCCCAAGTTGCTTTGGGGTTGGATTTCCTCCCATGCAGCTCCGGGCCGGAGCAAAAACTTCGCTTCCAGATCAGAAAATTGTCTCCACTGTCAATCCAGGGCAGTGGTATCGCAGCTGAGTGAGGCGCGAGGTGCTGACCTGATGGCTCTTGCCAAAACTTTCTCATCGATTCGACGAGCCTGCACAGAAGCCCACGGATTAACGTAATGAGTTATTCAGAATACAGAGAAAGAACAAGATGAAGTGGAGGACGTTTGCTCGCCCTCCATTCT